ATCACATGTACTCACTCATAGGTGGTTTTAAACATAAAGCAAAGAAAAGCAGCCTACAAACCACAATCCCAGAGAACTCAGATAACAATTAGGACACTAAGAGTGACTTACATAGATCTAATCTACATAGAAGTAGAAAAAGAGAAGATCTCCTTAGTAAATTGGGAGCATGGGGACCTTGGGGGAGGGTTGAAGGAGGAGGGGAGAGGCAGGGAGGGGAGTAGAGAAAAATGTAAAGCTCAATAAAAATCAATTAAAAAAAAAGGGCAGAGTGTACAGTCACAACTACCTCTTTTCAGAAGTGACACGGACACTTAGTAAAAAGAGTGGTTACTATCCATCAGGCTATGCATATTAGCATCCATAGCCCTCTAGACCAAGGCCAATTTCACCCAACTTTATGTAAGCATAAATAATACACTCTCTTATAACAGGCCCCGGAATCAACCTTTATTAATAAAAGAGATCATGATTTCACACTGAAAGTGCTATTATAAACAATGGGTTATTCATGAGAAGATCTTTGTCATTCTAGTATAAAAGTTTGTCTGGAAATAAACTAAATTCACATGTTATAATTGGTTGAGTTGTTCCTGGGAGGATATTAGAGCTTCCTTGATTTTTGAGGGCGAGGTAAAGTTGACCACCAAGGTTCTCATTCTAAACATAACACTACTAAAATAGTATTAATGAATACCTACAGGCTAGGAGAATATATTTTGTCAATTTTGAACCACCATGGACACATATATTTGGGTTCAGAGATGTTCAGATGAAGAGGGGTGATCCACCCTGAATGTGGACAGCAGCACCCATGGCTGGAGCTCCAGACTGAATAAAAAGGAGACAGAGAGCTGAGCATCAGGACGCACTCACTCTGACTGGGGCTGCAAATGTGAGCAGCCGCCTCTTGCTCTCACAACCATGGCTCCCTAGTCACTATGATCTGTGTTCTGAAAATGTAAGCCTCCCTTAAGTCCCAGTATCAAATACACATTCCCATTCTCCATTTCCTTACATTTAAAGAGTTGCAACAAAAGAACAAACGAATACACTTGTTTCACTGATTACCAGTCCTCCAAAATGCAAGCGGGAGCACTGTAACCCATAACATACCATCAGGAAACTGGTCAGCGTCATCATCAAACATGGCCTCCTTGAGGGCAGACTTGTTGAAGGGACTAATGCTATCTGAATAGTTATATGGATTATAATCACGAGAACGTGAAGAGGAGTGAAGTGGTACTGAATGGAGCAAAGATGCTTTATTATCAAGAGCTGGCTGGCTGGAGTCAGTGGCATCACCTCCTGCTCGTGGATCTGACATCCCAGGACCACATATCTATTGAAAGAAAGAGGAAGTACAGCAAGTTACCTTGTTTCAAAATACCTTCTTCACATTTTAAAAAGATGTTTCTTGGGGGCTGGAATGATGACTTGGCAGTCAAGTGTGCTTCTTGCTCTTCCAGAGGACTTGGGTTTAGTTCCCAGTCCCTACACCAGGTGACTTACAGCTACCTGTTCCTCTAGTTCCAGGAGAGTCAATGTCCTCAGTGGTTAAGAGCACGGGCTGCTCTTCTAGAAGACCCGGATTCAGTTCCCAGCACCCACATGGTGGCTCACAACCATCTGTAACTCCTGCTCCAGGGGATCTGAAACTTACTTCTTGCCTCTGCAAGCATTGTACACACACAGTGTACAGGTGTATAGGTAGGCAAAACACCCATACACTTAAAAATAATAAGTTAAAAAAGGTAACAATAATTTAAAAAAAATGACAAAAGTATGGGTTATAATATATATTCAAATATATTGTACAAATATGTAACATATATTCAAAATGAAAAAGCTGAAATAGCCAAGAATGTCTTTAATCCCAGCCTTCAGGAGGCAGAGACAGGCGACAGGCAGATCTCTGTGAGTTTGAGGTCAGGCTGGCCTAAAAAGTGAGTTCCAGGACAGGTTCCAAAGCTACAGAGAAACCTTGTCTCAAAAAAACCAAACAACAACAAACCAAAAAACAAAACAAAAAAAAAACAAACAAACAAAACCAATGAAAAGAGAAAAGAAAAAAAGAAAAAGCTTAAATAAAGATGTATAGAAACCACAGCTGAGAGGCAAATAAGCCATCACAAATGTTGTCACCAATATTGTTATTGTCAATGGGTCAACCAACTAACATACACAATGAGATTAGCAACACCTTCTCCATGCCAGATACAAAGACTTTCATTAGCAAAACATAGCTGAGGACATATCTCAGTGCTAAGAGGGTTCACCCAGCACGTTCAAGGTTCTGAATTCATTCCCAGCAATAAAACAAACAACAATAACAAATTGTCTTTAAAATTTGGCACAATATACTGTCCTTGAATAATGGACTATCTTAATAGTATCTTTCAGCTTTTATTTCTATGCCTTTTTCCTCCCAAAGGACAGGTTTAAAGGTCAATATAATTTTCAAATAGATGTTAATAAAGTTGGGATACATTAACACCTTTGCCCAAACACCAATATTAATACAAATACTAGCCTCAAAATTATTATCACCAGAAATACCACATCTATCAAGTAACTGTATGCCATGCTGGTTGACGGGAACTCTACACGCATCCTTCCTGCAGTCCAAGTGAAACACTGCTCTTAGCATTACTTGAGGCACCACCTTGGTTTATGTAATATTTGCAAACAAACACAGAAAGCCTAGGTATCATTTAAGAAATGATACTTACTAACCTGCTGTTGCTACCACATGCAGCTTTAGAATAGGGAACCGCAACCTGGGTGTTTTGACAACCATTTTTATTAGTTCACTACTATTGAGCTCTACCAGACAGGTATAAAGACAACCAAGTAAGGGAATCGGTAGGTGGGGAGTCCTTTAGAGATGTGCTGAAATCCCATGGCCCTGTGGACACTGAGCAGCAATGTTCTCAACAGGAATGAAGGGATGGCTTATTTCAAGAGAAGTCTAAGCTGCCAGAGATAAGTATAAGGAGATGCAAAAGTAAAAGTTCACCACTGAGGTACTACAGCAGAGGAAACCATTAGATAACAGTATTTGCATGTAAGGAACATAGGTTATGACATGCTCTGTGGGGACACATAAACTGATGATGCAGACTACTATTACTACAACTAATATGGGGAATATGTAGACCTCCATTTATGAAAACTCGAGTGGTAAAACACACAGCCCAGTATGTTCTAGGCCCAGGCCCATGATTAACTCATATGTTGTGACTAAGTTCCACTTTATTTCTTCATGCTCCAACTACACCAGCTTTCTTCCGAGCCCTCAGCTACATCAGTTCACGAATTCTTCTCTCTGTTTTGTGGATTTAACTCTCAGTACAGTGTCACTTGACAGCCTCATTCCCTGACCCACAGTCTAATACATACATTCCTTCCTCTACGGCACAGTCTAATACATACATTCCTTCCTCTATGGCACAGTCTAATACATACATTCCTTCCTCTATGGCACAGTCTAATACATACATTCCTTCCTCTACGGCACAGTCTAATACATACATTCCTTCCTCTACGGCACAGTCTAATACATACATTCCTTCCTCTATGGCACAGTCTAATACATACATTCCTTCCTCTACGGCACAGTCTAATACATACATTCCTTCCTCTATGGCACAGTCTAACCCAAACTCCACAGTAAATATCTACTTAGAAATCTCAAAAGAACTATAGGAAGACACTTTGTCCTACAGATCTAATACCTAAAACTTGCCACCATGTGGGTGGATGATACTTACTCTGTGAATGCTTGAAGAGTGACTGGCTCCTAAAAAATTTTATGTGAAAATGCCAGAAAGCAAAGCTTAAAATACACACACACACACCCCACTCTGATGGGAACCAAAGCTGCCTGCTGCAATGTTAAGAACACACATATGGGAGGGATTTGATGGGTTAGGAATGTGGTAACACAGTATGAACAGATAAGAACACGCATGTGTGAGGGATTTGGTGTGTTAGGAATGTAGTAACAGATGGAGTGACCATGTAAGAACACTTGTGGGAGGGATGCGGCGAGTTAGGAATGTGGTAACAGATGGGGTGAACATGTAAACACTTACTGTGTCAGCATCCTCTTTTTTAGGATCCCTCTTGAGTGGTTCACTCATATCTTCTTGGCTTCTGAAGCTGAAATTCTGGATTGCCTCAGTGACACCTCTAAGGGAGCTGTAAATGTCCTCAGAATTCATGTTTTCTGTGTCGTAATCAAACGCACTGTGAAAGAGATGGTACTAATTTTCACTTACATTTCATTTTGCTTGATTTGATTTTTATATCTACGTGAATGAATATTCTGTCTATACATGTGTACCATGTGGGTGCAGAACCCTTGGAGGTCAGAAGAGGGCAACAGCTCCCCTGGAACTGGACTTAAGAGAGAGCTGTTAACTCCAGGGGGTGCTTGGACCTAAACCCAGGTGTTGCTCTTAACTACATACAGAGCATCGCTGCAATCCCCGTTTTATTTACTTATTTATTTATTTTGAGGGTCTCAATCTGTAGCTCAGGCTAGTCTTAAGCACACTGTAATTCTCCTCCAAGTGCTAAAATTAGAGGTGTAAGCTACCACAGCTGGCTATTAACTTTCAGCTATATTTTTAAAACACAAACAGGCTGGGTGTGGCAGTATACACCTGTAATGTCAGCACTTGGGGAGTAGAAGGAGGAGGGTCAGGGGTGCCGGACATCCTATACTACATAGCAGGTTAAAGCCCAGTCTGGTCTAAACCTGACCCTGTTGAAATAAACACATTTAAGGGTATTGTATAAAATACTTATGAAGATAAGAATCATCCATTTTTGACATAAAAACTCACTCTGGGTGCGTCCGTCGGACCGGTCCCCGCGTGACCAGAACGCGGCCCTACCCGAGGGTTGGCTGCATATAAGGCCGGCTCTCTGCTGGCTGTTAACATTTCCCAGCCACAGCTGCCCCAGATTTGGAATTCTACACTAAAGTCATCATGGGCATCTTCCAGAGATTGTCGAAAAATAAGGAAAGGTTTCATATTGAATCTATCCCCCACCTGTTCTGTCTTAGCTCATTCCTTTGGCGTTTATCATAACCATGGCGGCCACTGGAGCTTCATCTTTCGCTATGTATGCTTTGAAAAAAACTGACGTGGTTATTGATCGGAAAAGAAACCCAGAACCTTGGGAAATGGTGGATCCTACTCAACCCCAAAAGCTTATAACCATCAACCAGCAGTAGAAGCCCGTGGAAGAGCTGCAGAAAACCAGATGATGGCTCTTCGCTCCTTCCTTCCGAAGAATACTCTATGAATCTAGCGGAAACACTTCAGCACAAACTAGATTTTGATACCAGTGTGCAGAAATGCTTCTGCTACGATTTTAGGGTTTGCCTTCATTCTCTGGATCCTGTGTAAGCAATTGAAGGTAGCACATAGTCTGAAAAAATTTTTTTGTGTTTGTTGGTGTAAATTTCAATTTTGCATTTGAAATTTAATGTTCCTGATGCTTGGGTGTAGTCCTTGAAATGTATGACCATATATAAATTAGATTACTACCTGTAACAAAATATTATTTATGCAAAAAAAAAACCCAAACCAAACCAAACCAAAACAAAACAAAAAAAACCCCTCACTCTGTAACCCAAACTTAACTAGAACTCACTTTGTAGCCAACCCAGGCTCAAACTCGAGAGTTTCCTGAGTTCTGAAATTACAGGCAAGTATCACTATGGCCAGCTAACACTGAACTTCACAGAAATCCTTCTACTACTGCCTCCTGAGTGCTGGGATTAAAAGCATGGGCTACTGTGCCTGATCTTAAAATTGCATTTACTTTGTATGTTTGTGTAGGTCAAATAACTTTGGAAATTCTTTCCTTCCACATGTGGAATCTGAGAACCAAGCTCAGGTCATCAGACATTCTGCAGCACGAACTTTTACCCACTTAGCCATCTTACTAACACAGCTTACACTTTTAAATAGGTATTTTTATAATGTGAACATTCCACAAAATTCAAGTTTCAGTACGCATACATACAATTATATTGGAGCACAGCCAAGTGTACTTATGTTTAGACGGTCTATGGCTGTTTTGGAAGCACAACAGAAGAGCTAAAAAAAAAGGTCATAGACCACTTGGCTTGAAAGCCTAAAATATTGGCCATTTGACCCTTTTTATAGAAAGCTTCCCAGTCCTTGTATTAACCAACAGTAAGAGCGCTAGGAGAAGAAGAAACATAGTTAGCACTCAGAAACTGAAGGCAGAAGGAGCAGGAGTCCACGGTCATCCTCTGTCATGTGACCAGGTGGAGGCCACCAGGAGTAGACACAGATTCTGGTGTCTGGGAGCAGTCCTTGGTGGTAGAAAAAGGAACCTGTACTTCACCTACTAACAGTTCCTATTATTTTGCAAAATAAGCTTTGGGAAATAAACAACAACAAAGATAAAGGTAAAAAAGAAAGTGGGTGGAGGTGAGAGGAAAACTGTGGAGTCAGTCACAGTGACCTAAGGACTGAACTTGAGCAGTCACGCTTTTCTCACCAAGAACATTCATCTCCTGAGTCATCTCTGCAGATTGTTTTGAATTTTGAACACTGAACATAAATGCTATGACATGAATTCTATAATCAAACAATAAATTCAATTAAAGTTTGAATGTATTCAGCAAAATTGTCACAACTGTATTAACACACAGGTTAGGGGGTAAGTTTCAGAACATTCTTTCTTAAATGCTGATGTAGCACCCTGTTAGTTTAATGGATAATCTGATGAGGCAAACCATGATGTATGACCATAACAAAACTCTTCTGACAAGAGATACCTTAAGAATCATTTTACATGCTGGGTGGTGGTGGTGTAAACCTTTAATCCCAGTACTCAGGAGGCAAAGGCAGCAAATCTCTGTGAGTTCAAGGCCAGCCTGGTCTACAAGAGTTAGTTCTAGGACAGGTTTCAAAGCTATAGAGAAACCCTGTCTTGAAAAACTGGTGAAAAAAAAAAAAGAATCATTTTACAAAAGGCCAGCAAAAGGGGCTTGGTGGATACTGATTAATAAATTAAGGATTAATCTAGGGATGGCAAGATGGCCTATCAGGTGAAGGTGCTTGCTGAGCAAGCTCGGTCACCTGCACTGATATATTTAACTCTTCCCCATTATTCTTTATGTTTTGTCTATAACCTCAAGTCCATCCAAACCTTTCAGAAGTGATTCACCAGTATTCTATCTAATACCATAACTGATACTGCCATTTACACTAAAGAAGTGTAATAGAAAAGACAGGCACAATTTGCAGTTTGAGAAATGTAACTATACTCTTTAAGATAACAATACCTTTCTTCCTATATATCACCATTTAAAGGGTTAGATTTTATATACAATTAATGTTGCTTGGATCTGCTCAGTTTCTAGGACACTTCAAGTCAAATAAAGTCTGCTGGGATTATAGTTACTTTGCCTTTCTAGAATGGAAACTGGTAACACAAAGCACAAATGAAAACCATCACCTCACCTTGGAGATAATGTATTCTGTGATGTGTTAGTAGGAGAAGTAAGAGGACTGGACCAGTTGGCTGGGGATCGAGGTGTAGGTCTTGTCAAAGGACTCCCCATGGAACTCTGATGGTGGGAGTAAGAAGAGTATTAACATCAGAAACTGCAACTGAAAGGTCCTTAGGGAAGAGGCACAGGCATGAGAGAGCACATTATGGAAGTGCCATTTTCGCCAATATTATAAATATCCATGCACTTATGCTTACTTTCTGGGAGAAAATGTGTCTCAAATTTAGTAACCTACCTCCTTACCCTTCTCCCTCACCTCTTTACCTGCCTCCTCTTTATTACACTCAACACCCTTCTCCGAGATTCTCAAGTACCCTTGACTAACCTTGAACTCACTATCTACACAAGGATGACCTCGAACTTCTGAGCTTCCTCCTTTAAAAAATTTTATATCAGCTTTCTGTTCTTAGCTAATTAACCCTTCCTACTTCATTGATAATTCAATTTAATTCCTTCTGAGTATTTTACAAATGATTTTCACAAAGACACTAAGAAAATAAAATATGGTCACATTACTAATTTGTAGTTTTCCTTCAATTAACCGTCTCTCCACTTGACCAGATGTAAAACTGGTGCCTACTCTTCCCAAGGCAGTATTTAATCTTGCTCAGAAAATATTGCCAAATGCAGATGTAAAAATCATATAGTAAAATTAAGTCAACTTAATGCAAAACAAAGCAATCACTGTCAAACCAATTATAAGAGAATACAACAGCCACCTAGTCAAGTGAGAAATACCTGGGTCCCATTGCCAGTGTTTCGAAGATGATTATGAAGAAGTTTAGTAGCACCATCTTGGAAAGTTTTTGGTAAAGCTCCTAGTAACATTGTAAACTCTGGGGTATTGAGTTCAAATAAAGAAATCAGCACTGACTGCGCTGCCTGAAAGAAACAAAGACATACAAAAAGTAAGTAAATGCATTCTGGCTACTCAAAGATGGGTGGTCATTTTCTTCTGCTCAACAGCACAAGGCCTGACCGCCTCTCCCATAGAAAAGGAAAAGGCGACCTTTCATGGTTTCTTTGTGGGGAAGATGGAAACACTCTCCCTACCATTTATCTCCTGAAGTTAAGAAGGGGCTATGGAAGGTGACAGATGACAAAACTTTGCAGGGTTATTTTGTCAACATATATTACTGTTTTAGTTTTCCTAATAAATAATTAAAAGAAAATGGATGGTTATATGACTCCCATTCAGGGTGACTTAATGCTGAAATTAAATTTTCTTAACGTGAACTTTTCTAAAAACTAAGGTGGGCATTTTGAAGGAATACTGGGGTAGAAAGGTACAAAAATGTATAAGGGCAGCAGACAACAGAGGGGTAAAGGAAGGAGGAGGGGAATTAACAAAACCCAAGTACACATGAAAATGCCATATGGAAAGATGTTGCTTTGTATGATAATTAAAAAATAAAGCCGCATAAGAAGGAGAAAACAACAACAAACAAAAAAGTCAACCAACCAACCAAACCAACCAACCAACCAACCAGGATTTTACTATGCAGCCTCTAAGGGTTCTGAGTCGGTACAGGTGCATACCATCATGTTTGACTTTGTAGGATTCTTTAACTAGCAATATATATATCTTCTCTCAAGCAGCTAGTCTAAAAATTCTACAGTTAATGTCAAGGTAAAGTAAGTCAGGTGTTTCGTAAAGACTGAAACAACATAAAATTTGTAAGAAAAATAAAATTGTATAACAATTTATGGAGGAGAGCATGAATTGGTGCATGGTCACATGATGGAGGAAGGTCATTGGTTAAATAAAAAGAAACTGCTTGGCCCTCATTGGTTAGAAGATAGGTGGGAGGAGTAAACAGAACAGAACGCTGGGAAGAAGAGGAAGTGAGCTCAGACTCCACAGCTCTCTTCTCAGGAGCAGACGCCTCAGAGAGATGCCATGCTCAGCTCTCCCGGGCAGGCGCACACCATGAAGCAAGCCGCCAGGTTAGACATGCTGAATCTTTCCCGGTAAGACCAGTGCTCACAGATTATTAGAGATGGGTTGATCGGGATGTGAGAATTAGCCTGTAAGGGCTAGAGCTAAAGGGCCAAGCAGTGTTTAAATGAATACAGTTTGTGTGCTGTTATTTCGGGCATAAGCCGAGCAGGCGGCCGGGGTGCTGGGAACGCAGCCCCGCCGCCCCTATTTACTACAAAACCTGAGAAGGCTTAAAAATAAGGGAGAGAGAGTTTTAACACAGATTTTTGCTGTTTGTTGGTGGCGGGCTGTAGAGAGATTTCCTGATTCGGCAACAGTAGCAGAAAAAACGCTGTGTCATTTTAAAGTGTGACTTCCTGGGGCTGTGCCGCCATTGCGATCTCTGTCTGGCTCCTGCAGGAGACAGAGCTTTTGAATAGAGCATTTGGAGTAAAGTGCTACGATTTGTTTGATGGCAACTAGACTCGCTGTGTTCTCGGGTCTGCTCTGCTTGTTAGAGGCAAGCAAGTGCTCTCATCTAAGAGAGGCTTCCTGACTCAGCTTTAGCTGCAAAGCTTGCAGCTCTTTAAAGAGGTCCTGCCACGAAACACTTAAACAGTGTTGACGAAAAGCTGAACGCATGCTTTTCGATTTTCAACCGTAGCAGGAAAAAAGCTGCGCCGTTTAAAAATGCCAGCTTTCTGGGCTGTCCTGCCAGGGCAAACTCTGACTCTTTTACGCAGGCGGTTCGTGCGGTTTG